AAACAAACGTTCGTTTTGCAAAAAAATCGCTTATATCTCAGAATCTGCATTAACAAAAAGTTTTTCTTGAACGATTTTACTGTTAGAACCCTTAACTCTAACACTAAAGTGGGCCCTAACCCTAACAAAACGAACTTAAAGAATTTTGTCTGACATCACGTGATGGTAAAAATTTTGTTGGCGTTACTGGGGAAGATACTATCGCTGTATCAGGGGCGGAGAATGCTTTAATATGCAGAAATTCGCCTGATTGGCTAATGCAAGCATCAAAACAATCCAACTCAAAAGTTTTCTTTGCGAAATTTTGGTATATCTATGGCTAGACCAATTTAATTCTTAACATAACCTCGTGTTTTTTTAATAAGATTACAAATTTTTGAGCAATTTTAGGAATGGTAAAAAAAACAGTTATTTTATTTTATGCGAATTACCGTGAATTAAATAAAAATATGACATCTTATCCGTCAGATTACTATGATCGGAGGGGGACGTCTAAAGCGGAGTAGATTTGTATATATTTTATTGAACTTTATAGAGGTGTATTCCACGACTAGGTTTATAACAACCCGGAATTGTAGACAATAACGGAGGAGGATAAAATAAAAAACTAAGGAAATACATGTCGACGTTAGCTATAGTAGTAGCTGAAAATTATTAAACCGGAAAACTTGGGGGAACGCGATAAAACTAAGATCACTGCGCCCCTGCAGTCCAAACTCTACAAAAAAGAGCAAAGCTTTCCTTGTATCTGGGGTTAATATTTTTCTGCTACCTTCTATAGTTAACGGAGTAATACATCAAAACGTTCTACGCTTTATTACATCAACGTTTTTTCTATACGTGCGAAAATGGATAGATTTCAGCAAATCGGCCCGAATTATGGATCGGAATGCACCGGAATTGGCCGGCATTGATTAATTTTGCCCAAGATCACTTAAAATTTTACATAAATTACAATCTTACATGTAATTTTACATAAGTTTCAGAAAATTAAATTTCATGTAATTTACATAAAGTACCAGATTTAAAAAGTTCGACCAGTAAAATTTGATCTCAGAAACTAAATGTCATGTGTTCAAAATTACATTGTTATTTCTTAACGCCGGCCTAAATCCGATGAAACCCGACCTATAATTAAAAAAAGATTGAATGAAAATTTTATAGATAATCTAAATTTTTTTATCCAATTAAATTAATACTACTAAATCATAACTGATAAGGTTAATTAAATTAAATTAATGCTATATACTAAATCATAAGATTATACGTACAGTTGACCGATAAAATTATATCGCACTGGATGCTCGGATATTCGGACGGAAGGAAAAGGTTCTGGATATCAGAAATGTAAGGTTATTTGCGCGATATCCGATAGCTAAGGATTCGAATTTTGGAAACACGTGATTGTCAAGTATAGATTACGTGACCATATAAATTAAACATTTAAAATCTTAAATTTAATCGAAAATGGCTCAACAAGTGAAAAACACGAATATAATATGGCGACAATACTTTATAAAATTCTGTCATAGAGAAAGAGTTGTACTAGTTAAAGGTCAACAACGGAGAAATATTCAAAGTCTTTGGGATAAAGGCGCTAATACTAAACCTTCAAACTCAAACAGTTCATTTTTTGACAAAAATGCTGTAGTAATTGAGAAGATTTCGCCAGGTGTTTCGTCTTTCACCGGTTTTAGGGTTCGTCTTTCGTTATTACGTAAAATAATTTCTCTTAACAATTATACTCCCATACGGCAAAAACAATCATTAGTGTCAGATCTCATAAGACTCATAAGAGTATACAGGGATCTAACGAAAGCAAAACTCGCTGCTCTTGTAATATTGACAACAATGTGCGGATACGCCATGGCTCCTATGGCCACTGACCTTAAGTGCCTTTTCGCAACTACTGCTGGAACTGGATTATGTGTTGCTTCTGCAAATGCTATCAATCAATTATTGGAAATTCCGTACGACGCACAAATGTTACGCACGCGAAATAGAGTTCTTGTTCGTAATGCAATATCTCCAATTCATGCCTTTTCGTTTGGTACTTTGACCGGAATGACTGGTGTAGGAATCTTGTCGACTATGGTTAATCCTTTAACTGCTATTTTAGGTGCTTCTAACATCTTGTTATATACTTGCGTTTATACTCCTATGAAACGAAAAACAATTGCAAACACATGGATTGGTGCAATCGTTGGTGCAATACCTCCAATGATGGGCTGGGCCGCATGTACAAATAACTTGGAATTAGGCGCTTGGATATTAGGTGGTATTCTTTATGCTTGGCAATTTCCTCATTTTAATGCTCTTGCTTGGAATATGCGATCTGACTATTCAAAAGCAGGGTATCGTATGATGGTTGTGACAAATCCATTATTAAATAGTAGAGTATCATTAAGATATACTTTAGCATTATTTCCTTTAAGCTATATAGCTCCGTATATTGGTATGACAACTTGGTGGTTTGCGTTAGATTCAAGTCTAATTAATTGTGTACTTTTATTGAGTGCTTACAGATTTTGGAAAGATTCGAATGATAAATCTGCACGTGATTTGTTTTTTGCAAGTCTTGTACATTTACCAGTAATTCTCGCATTAATGATGGCTCATAAAAAAGATCAAGGAATTACAATGAATAATGATCTTCTAGAAGTGGATGAAAAAGAATTGGAAGAGGTTTTGCTGGAATTAGAATCATAAAAAAATTTTGTTAATAGTAAATTATGAAAGAATATAAGCTATTGTAGTTATATAATTCCTAGAATCGTTGTACATTTGGGACATTTTGGTGTCTGAACCTTTTGGACTATTCGCCAGACTGTAAAACTCTTATCTAGTTCGTAAATTTATCAAAAAAAAAAAAAAGTATAAATATTTACGACATTAATTTTGAACTATTTAATTCATAGAGTAGGTTATCATAATAAAATTTTACGTTATTCAATGTCAAATTTTATCCGAATGTCGCCTGAATGACAAATCGTTAAACCAAAAATGTTATTAATTTTTCGTTGAATGGTAAAATTGTCCGTAACAGAGCACGAAATTTTATTGTGATTAAGATGAATTCCGCGGTCGGAACTTTTATAATATAAATCTACTGCATTATTTTCAATTTCGTTTACAGAACAAATACTGTGCTCTATCGTTTAAAATTTTTTGATCAGTAATGCTTATCAATAAATAATGTGATAATTGCATAGTTACCTAAATGCTTAGTATGTCATCCGGTCGCATCTTCGACGAGTTGGGTGTCCAGAATTATGCGATGCGATAAGGCAAATTATGCGATGTGACGGGGTCAATTATGCGATTTTATATCTAAATTTCCTCGTTTATGCGATTTTAGTAGCTCACGTAATCTTTCGGAATTGATTCAAGATGCGAAAATTTGGTAAATTATGCGCATCTTATGCTTTCGCATAATCCTGGACACGGAAAAACATTGATTTATATAAATCGATATTTTTAGCGTTCGCGTTATCGTTAGGTCAGATTATAGGGAAATCGGTATTTTTGTAATTTTTAATGCAGTGTAGCATACAAAATCAAACAGAAAATTATTTTGATTGGTTGTTTATTTCTATTGAAAAAACAATGTTACACGAGTTTTTTATGTTTACAATAGAAAAATGGATCCGTAAAATAACACGAAATTTTTTATAATTAGATTAATCTGAAATGTTGCAAGATTATAATTTGGAAACGTATTTTTTATATACATCGGGTAATTTTTTTTATATTAGAACTGCACAGATTTTTAAATAAATTATATATGCTAAACTTCATATCTAATGGTGATTTTTTAAAAAAAATTTAAAAATCTGCGCAGAATTTTATTTAATTAAAATCTGTATAATTTTTAGAGCAAATCTATTTGTCGCCGGTGACAGTGGCAATTGGCCAATCACGCCACGGGATTCATAGGAAGACATTCATATGATTGGTCAATTTTCGCAGATCTACCCGTGATTTCCCGTGACAATTAACCAATCAAAAATCAAATTGTCAATCAAATCATAATGATAATGCAGACGAAACTTTATACCAGCGAAACTTAAATACGGTACTATTCTTCGTTAATTAGAGGCAAA